TCCTGGCCCTCTTCTCCCCGCCATCTGCCTTCCCCCTACCTTAGGCTAGCTTCCATGGCAGAGCTGGCCAGATCTGCTTGCGGCTGGCCGGTTTTGCCAGTTCCGTCGGGGAGACGGACTCTCCGACGAGCTTCTCTCGGCGCTTCTGCTGGCCAACGTCCCTAGGGGCAACGGCTGGGCGGGGCTACTGCTGAGCCATCGCCGCACCCTGCTCCCTGGTAGGGTTGGGACTTCGGCGGCAACGATGTGGAGGTGCTTGAGGTCGGGACGAAAGCTTCAACGACGACGTCTGCAAACATCGTTTCCTTCTTGGAGACGCCCTTTCCTATCTCTCCTCCTATCGTACCAGATGTTGCAGGTGAAAACCTTCCCTTGACGGGCTACCTTGTTAGCGCTTTAGTGTTGTTTCCTCCTTGGAGGCATGGTTAGGCTTTTCAATTCCGTGGTTGCTCTTTGTCATCTGACCATAGTGGTGCCCCAAGCTGTGTTGTTTGGTGCGCCCAGCATGTCGTCGTGTTTCTTCAGTCCTTGTTATTAGTTGTTAGTTGGATCGATTCGACCAAGTTGGAGCAAGTAGTGGCGTGCGTTATAATAGTTGTTCGATTGTTGTACTACCAAAGTTGTGTAGGATGAGTGGTACACTCTCATCAGTTGTATGGTTTTTTAGTCCAGTTTTCGTTAAAAAGAAACTGGACGGGCACTTGCCTTTTTCTTTTTTCGTCTAATAAAAATCGTGACAAAGCTCTTGCCGTCCTTTTAAAAAAAAGTATGTATAATGTATGGGATGCATGTTTCATTCACCAACCTAAACCTCTTTATATAACATGGCAAAATGAAACTTCTAGTTTACAGTATATCTTGACAGACTCTTAATCAATTTTGTTTTCGTTCATTTTCTCATCTGCACTATATAAGAATAATGTGCAGTTGATGTACAATCTTTTTTTTTTGAAAATTAATTTACAAATCCAGGACCACCCATTCTAGTTCAATCCACACCGGCTGATCCAAAACTAGACACGTATCATGTTGGCACCAGGAACCACACACGTACATATCATAATTAATTGTTTGTACGAATAGAAACATTTTCCACCACACGTTGTTATTCCCCTAATAAGTTTTCGGTTTTTATTTTTATTTTTTTATTTAAAAGATCATGAATGTACGGAGTTTATTACAAAGAACAAGCATTACAGTGAAGAAACCATGTTTTATCCTCGGCAGCCAAACAAACAAGAGAAACAAACAACAAACCATGATCTATCAGGAAGGCAGAGCAGCATTCACTTGTGAGCTCAGTTGCCGGCGGCGGCTGCCGCGGAGCGTGCCTGCAGCACCTTGCCGAACTCGGCGATGTGGTCGGGGTCCGGGATGACCTCCTTGGCTACGTCGAGCGCGGCGAAGCGGTCCGCCCACGCGGCGAGGCGCGGGATCCGGCCGGCGTCCAGGAGCTTGACGCCGCCCACCTTGTCCCAGGCGCGCAGCCAGCCGATGAAGCCCCCAAGCGCGACGTCCAGGTACCCGGGCGCGTCGCCGGCGAAGAACTCTTTCCCGCCGGAGCACTCGGCGAACGCACCCTCCAGCGTGTCCATAGCGGCCAACGCGTCCGCTGTCGCCGCGGCCCTCTCCTCCTCCGTTGCCCCCAGGATCGCCTTCACCATCATGCCGTGCAACTGCATATATGATATATGCATGCGCGCACCGTGTCAGCGTGCGTGTACATACAAAATGTAAATCATGCGCGCGCCTATTATTACCTTGCCGTCGACGTACGCGGCCCAGAAGCGAGCGACGGCGCGTTCATAGGGGTCGGCGGGGAGGAGGGCTTGGCCGGCGCCGGGGAAGGCGTCGTCGAGGTACTCCACGATGACGAGTGACTCGGAGACGGGCCTGTCGCCGTGGAGGAGCACGGGCACCTTCTTGTGGACGGGGTTGGAGGCGAGGAGGAGGTCGCTCTTGTTGGTGAGGTCCTCCTCCACGTTCTCGTACTCCAGGCCCTTGAGGTGCAGCGCCACGCGCACGCGGTTCACGAAGGGGCTCGGCCACGCGCCCAGCAGCTTCAGCTTCCCGGCACCTCCGCCGGCTGTGGCCATTCTAGCAGCTCGCCGTGCGCTCCCGCCTCCCGGCCGGCCGGTCAGTCGCGTGAACTGTGAATAGCCGATGGCGCCTGGCCTCGCGCTCGGTTTAATTAGCTGCTAAGAATGTCGCCGATGCCTGTCCAGCTACTGTCGGATGGAGAAAAATCGCCCGTGACACGTGAACACGCATGACGCGCATCCTATCATTGATGTGAAACGTATCTACGTCGTGTGTCCTGCAGCTCTTGGGCGGTTGGGCGCTACGTGACGAGGGATCGAGGACCACCCATCCATACCATGTGGCCCCTCGGTTCCCATGGCTAGATAGTTGTACACACTAACACGGTAATTATATTAGTATGCTAGTAATCTATGGCTCCATTTAAAATATTTTCATAAAATTCTTACTGAAATTTTCAACAATGTCTCGTTTTAATAGATGATGGGTCCTCGTATTAATAGCGCCTCTAAAGTTTTAGTTTGGACATGTAGCAACGCACAACCCAGACCACAAACAGAAAAAGATACATGCGCCTCACAGGCCCATGAGATTGAAGTCTATTTCAAAAGTGAAAATTCCTTATTTAGCACCACTAAATGATGCAATTCCTTATTTAGCATCGAAAGATAAAAGTTCTCCAAAATAGCACCGACTTTTATTATTAGATCTGACCACTAGGCCGTTAACTTGATGGGGAAAAGACTGTTTTGCCCCTATATTTTTCATGTGTAACACCAACAGCACATTAAAGTGATTTTTTAACAGTGCCATTTTTTGACATGGAACGTATTTTGCCAGTACATTTTTTTACATTGAACAATTTCTGCAGTACCATTTCTCTGCACATATTATTTATGAAGTGTCATTTTTTTACATTGAACACATTTTGGCAGTACATTTTTTAACATTGAACAATTTTTGCAGTACCATTTCTCTGCATAGATTATATATGAACTATGACAGCTTTGGACAATGTGCTACACATGAAAAACAAGGGCAAGCGGTCTTTTTTCCTTCCAAGTTAACGGTGTTAGATCTTGATTCTACAGTTGAAACAAATTGAGTGACCGGGATAGATAGAACACCGAGAAGGGAACTACTTATTATAACGTTTAAATAGACAACCATGGAGAGGTCGACCTAGAAGAAACTATGCGGTCTTCTATTAAGAAAAGAATATGCACCCACATCTCCAGTCTAATCAACTGAGCAACTCTCACTTCCTACTCGGTAATGAAGAAATTAATACCATGATGGTTCCTGCTCCGCAGCTCCTCTTTCTTCTAGGAAACTAGGTAATGCGGCTCGCGTGATGCTGTAGACGCACAAAAAATAAATGGAAAAATAATTATTGCAAAAAATGTATCATGAAGCACCGATAAAACTCATGGTGAATAGAAACACAAAGGTAAGACGATATCCATTAGGCTAAAACTATGATAGGTGAAAATATATTGTAACTTGTGCATGAGTGGAGGTTTATTCGACTGCCATTAGAATGATGGATCTCAATACAACCATTGACTATTGTTGCAAAAATAGCAATTGACACAATAGTAATTGTTACTTATAACATCATTTTTTTTGGGGGGGGAGTTTATGACATCCCTTCTAGTGTTAGGGAATTTATGGACATAATTATGCATAGGAAACCTTAGTCATTTCAAAATTAAAACATAATAAAATGTCTTAATATCAGGATGTGCTTTTTTTTGCGGGATCCGAGACCATAGCAAAAACATGTGACTTTTATTTCTCAAAATCACTTTTCTCATGTTTGGTTTGTGCTAGTTTGAGTTTAGTTTATAATGGGACCCACACATTAAAATGGTTCGGTCAATACTTCAAAGCTCAGAAAATGGCATCATTGGGATGGAGGGGTTTCACGCCGACAGATTGTGAGCATCAACTTGCGTTGATGACTCTAAGACAATGAGACCCTGGAATTTGGAGAGATGCTTGTTGGCTAATCGAAGAACATAGAGAGGCTTTAAACATGGAATCTAATGTCTAGATAGTTGATCGAGGTTATGCAGGTCATGTCATTGCTTAGGAATAAGCAACATTTTGTAGGGGCGAAAATGCAACACTTGTAATAAAGAAGGTATTGAGTGCTTTAACTGTGTAGTGGTCCAACTATACATAGGACCCAGGTGGAAGACCAACAATGTCTATGAGTTCCAAGAATCTAAATGGTGAGAAGAAGAAAATAGAAAGGGAAAAAAGAGGTCATATTTGTCCTCCCATTCTGAGATCTGCAAAGCTCGATCCACTCATGTTTCGGAGTTGATCTTACCGGTGGCTAAGGGTGGTGACAGAGAGTCTGACGTATGATTCCCACAACTGATAGAGACTAATCATATGAAAAGTATAGGCGGTGTTACAAGTGTTCTCTCACCCACAAAACTAAGATAAATCTATCATTTTTATCTTAACACAAGACGATTTCACGTAAAATAGAAATATAATAATTATGTCAATTATACTATGTAAACGCGTGCTTGAGTTCACTTGGAGTTTTTTTTTTTTGCGAGACGAGTTGACTCGGATTTTTTTTTTGTTGACTTGGAGGGCTATGCACGTGGCTATGTCGTCTCGCACGCCCCTCAATTTCCTTCTCAGTTCGATTCGCGCACGATTCCGCCCCGAGGTTCCAAACCCTAGGTTCCTCTCATCCTCCACGAACCCTAGATCCAAAATCTAACACCCGTCATCCTCTTATCGCCGTGCCTGACGCTTCTCTCTGCAGTCGATTCCGCCGCGGACCGCCCGGTTCACTTGTCCTCTTTCCCCGAGATATCGAGGTGAGCGTTTTGATGCTATGCTGCGGCTGTTTCGGCGGTTCGCGTCGTCTGCGCACCGTGATGCTCATATGCGTGCGTTCATGATGTTGGTGACAGCCGCAGCCCGCAGGAAGGATGGTAGAGGCGAAGGACAACGAGGTGTACGAGGAGGACCTCGTCGACTACGAGGAGGAGGTGGAGAATGTCGTCGACGGCGCCGCCACCAACGGCTCCGCAGATGTCGTCAAGAAGTACGTTCCACGGGAGAGCTCTTGCTTGCTAGATTTCGTGGTTGTGTAGTCTGATCTGACCGATTGGGGTTTCGCGGTGTGTGTCGACAGGGGGTACGTGGGGATCCACAGCTCGGGGTTCAGAGACTTCCTGCTCAAGCCGGAGCTTCTCCGCGCCATTCAGGACTGCGGGTTTGAGCATCCTTCCGAAGGCAAGTTTTACTTTTGTTCTTCTTGCTAACTATGCTCTTTACTATCATTTTAGCCGTGATGCACGGTTTGAGGGATGTTAAACATGGGCATGTGCTTGAAATCAAGCTATTTGACATCCTTAATATGTGTTGGTCATTCCCAACATATGAAGAACCCCGTGTAAAGTAAATTTTAGGACATGATAAGATCTAGTCTCTCCAGTTCAAAATACATTTAGTTTTAGCAGTTCTTATGTCAAATATTTTTAACTTTGATCATTAATCTCTATAAAAAAGAACACACAGGTTACATAAGGTCGATGTTATTAGATTCAATATGTAAAGTAGATTCAACTCAAGATATTAATTACCTTTTGTTTGAAATGCCATATTTTCATAGAAACTATATGGAAATGTCAATGTTTTTCATATAAAATATATGTCAAAATTTCACCATGTACATCGGGTAAATGTTCTAAATGACATGTGTATGTTGATTTGGAGAGAGGATTGAAAAACTGTTTGCAAATAAGTACATACTAAACATCAGGTAGCGTGTGTGTTAATAGTATATGATACTCAAATAAGGACATGATAAGCATCAGGTAGAGTCTGTTATAGTGTGATAATAGTATAATACTTCGGCATGAAAACTGAATCTGACTATGAAAACTGAAACTGACTATCTGAGGCCCCAACGCCACCCAAAAATGTTGTTCCACTGTTGAAGGAAAAAGGTTACCTTAACAATCTGGTAACATATATAATCAGATCTTTATTTTTGCAACAAGTACACAGATATGTAGAGAGCAAGAAATAAGCAAATTGGGTGGATTCTTCTTATTTAAACTAGTGAAACTATGCACTTACTGTTGAGTTATTGACCAAAATAAATACCGGGTTAATCTAATGTTTGGGGGCCATTTTGAAGTGCAATAGAGGTATCTGATTGTGAGTTTTGTTCAACCATAGCCTAGCAGCTATGGTTTTGCAGCTTGTTGCTTTAGGCTTTGTGCACCTTTGTTTGAATTCTAATGAATTGATAGCTGGAGTTTTAACTGTTCATGATACGGGAATCTAAGTGCTAGCATGCATAAGTTGGCTAAGACAAATCATAACAATTTTAATCAAATGTCAACAAAAATTGCATGTTTTCCAGTATTGTTGCCTGTTTGCCTTCCAGTATCATATACCCTCTTATTCTAGTTCAGTTTTTGGCTTTTTGCAACACCTTTGTCAAAATTATATCATCACATTTTAACTGCTTAGCTTTACAAGCTGTAACTTTTGCCATATGAAGTTGAGCCATACTTGTGAATAAAAAGGATTTCTTTGAGTAATATTAGTACCTGAGTTTCCAGGATTTGGTCAAACTCAAGATTACTTCGATATGTTTCATGTCAGTGGACAGCATTATGATGGATAAGTCTCATGTGTGGTCTTTGTGGGGCTGTACTGCTCACATGGTCCTTGTGGCTGTTTTTCTGCTTTTAGGACAGCATCTTAGACTAGAGGACAGCAGGACAGCATCTTAGAGGACAGCATCTTAGACTAGAGGACAGCATCTTAGCTAGGACAGCATATTAGCATCTTAGACTAGCATCTTAGACTAGCATCTTGGCATATGCTTGGCTGGCTAGCAGCCTATAAATATGTAACCCCAACCCCTCAGGTTGGCATGGCATTTGAGTAAGAAATAGACAAGAAAAATTGCCCCAACTCCTAGTGTCATCCTCTCGATGAGAGTAAGAATTCTTCTACTACCAAGAGTGAGAATTCAGCGACTAACACATTAAGTCAAGAACTGGTTGTTTTATAGGTTTGTGAGTCCCCCTACACATGCTATTGATGTGTTAGTGTACTTGGAAAACACGGGCATATGATTCTTAGTGCATCTCTGTCGCGTCAATAATCTTACACAAAGCTTATGTTTGCGTTTCTTTGTTAGGTTATATGTGAAAAATTATCAAATCATGGTAGTGTAAAACAGGTAAATGTAAATTCAACCAAAACTGATTGTCCACGTAAAAAAACTTGTTGCACTTTACCTGGCATTCTTTGAAATTGACTCACATAGAATAATAGTCAAGTATCTATCCTTGCATTTTACCTGTCGACCTTCCCCTGTAATAGTATGGTAGTTAAATTCCTGTTTTCTGGTGCTCAGGTACAAATTCTTCTGACATTTTCTGCTGGAGGAGAATATGGTATAGCTTTCCATTAATGGGGCAAGAAGGTTGATTTTTTTCTTACTGGGGTGCTGCTCCAACTTTGTTTGGTTCCACATCAGTGCAACATGAGTGCATCCCTCAAGCTATTCTTGGGATGGATGTCATCTGTCAAGCAAAATCTGGAATGGGTAAGACTGCGGTTTTCGTCCTCTCAACTCTTCAGCAGATTGATCCTGTTGCTGGCCAAGTAGCTGCACTTGTGTTGTGCCACACAAGAGAGTTAGCTTACCAGGTACATATTGTTTTCTCAGTTCTCTACTTTCGAATTTGTTTGACTTATCTGCGCATGCTGACTGTCTTATTACTTAACATTGTGCAGATTTGCCATGAATTTGAGAGGTTTAGCAAATACCTGCTTGAATTAAGAGTAGCTGTTTTCTATGGTGGTGTTCACATAAAAAACCACAAGGATCTGTTGAAGAATGAATGCCCCCATATTGTGGTTGGCACGCCTGGAAGGATACTGGCTCTAGCTAGAGATAAGGACCTTCCCTTGAAGAATGTGCGGCATTTCATTCTTGATGAATGTGACAAGATGCTTGAATCACTTGGTAGGGTGCTGTCTCTGGCAAATTCCTATATTTGTATAGTTCATTTTAATCTTATGGTATCCAGTCCAATTTTTCATTTCAGTGTCATAGTATTCAGTTCTCTTAATAGCTTGTGTATGTATTCTCCAGACATGCGCAGAGATGTCCAGGAGATCTTCAAAATGACTCCCCATGATAAGCAAGTGATGATGTTTTCAGCAACACTCAGCAAGGAGATTCGACCTGTTTGCAAGAGATTCATGCAAGACGTAATGTCCTATGGCCTAACTCATTTCAATTGCCCTTCCTCCTATCTATGTCTCCCCTTGCCTCGGGTGGTTATGCACAACATGATAGGTGGCAGTTCTATTGTCAGTAGCTTGAAGGGATTGCTGGTTGCTTTGCTGACCACCAATCAATTCCTATAAGCTACAAACTTCGTGGATTTGGTGACAATCTAGTCCTTCGTTTGTTATTTGGCACCTGTACACATTCCATTTGTCAGTGATGAAATGGAGTCTTCAGTTGTCAGCATGAACCGTTTGGGGGAGAATGCCGGAATCGGGTTTGGGAGGGTGATTATATGGTAGATCCAAGGCCATTTTTGTTTTATCAGTTGGCTACCCACATTTTTATACTTGTACTGGGATTCCATTGCATCAATGCAAATTGCTTCTGGTGCTCGTACCATGTCATGGTCAGTGCAGAAATAGCTGCTTTGTTTTGGATGGAACTCTGATATCAAACACAAAGAATGTTGTTGGCATGGTCAAATCCCAGTACCCTCAGTGCATAACTGAAGCTCCAGGAGGAGAAAATTCTAACGAGCAGAATAAATTGATGTATATGTACCTTTTGGAATGGCTGGAGTTGTATTGGTTCCAGCACTCTAATATCTTTATCTATCATTGTTACCTTACAGCCAATGGAAATTTATGTTGATGATGAGGCTAAACTGACCCTTCATGGTCTAGTTCAGGTAACATGTACTATTTATAAGAAAGTTGAACCACCTTTTTTTTCCCATTCTGTTCATCTTGTGCTAACCTTTCATTTCTGGTTCCAGCACTATATCAAATTGAGTGAGGCAGAGAAGAACCGAAAGTTGAACGACCTTTTAGATGCGCTCGACTTCAACCAAGTTGTGATATTTGTTAAAAGTGTTAGTAGAGCTGCAGAACTCAACAAATTGCTCTGCGAGTGCAATTTCCCCTCAATCTGCATACATTCTGGAATGGCACAGGAAGAGAGGTATGTGCTCTGTCTTCCTTTGCTGTGGCCCTTTTTTTTGTTATATTGCCATGTTTTGATGATGCTGAGCTTACCTTTTCACGAGTGTTATTTAAGGTCAGTTAGCTACTAGCTGTGTTGTAGGTGATCCTTATTCTTGTTTGCTGAACTTCCATATGCTTTAGGGGTGTTACACATCCGTCACTGTACTTCCATATGCTTTAGGGAATTATGTTGTAAATGGCAGTATGCCATCCTCATTATATTTCTAGGTAATACAATGTTGCTGGTGCCATATTTTTTTTTTGTAGAATATGCAGGAGAGTTCGTATCATTGTGTTGAAAAGGAGATAAAAAATAAATTACAACACACCCACCACGCTCACACAAACACACACTCTTACAAACTTGTACCGGAAGCAAACACGCCTTTTACATCAGACCACGACCCAACCCAACAAAAACCATCATCTTATTGGCAACCTCTAGATGGGTAAGACCTCTAGCGTCTGCAAGGCCCCATAGGTGTGCCTCTTCAAGGATTTGCCTGACAACAAGCTGGATGCTAGGGTTTTCTCCATTGAAAACGCAATCATTACGGTGATTCCACAGCCTCCAAGAAGTTAGGACTATCAACGAATTGAGGACACGCTTAATTTCACCAGAAACCAAACTGTTAACTCTCATTCACCAATCACATATAACACTATCATCTGAGGAAGGGGAATGATCCAGCAATCCATAGCGACGGAAAAAGGAGTGGCCACACCTGTCTAGAGAAGACACAGTTGGATAGTATGAGCTGTATGTTTTCAGCATCTTGGCTACATAAAGGACGCTAGCCTGGATGGGGCAAAAACCTCTTCAAGCCAACCGTCTGTTGTCCAACATCTGTTATGTGTAGCAACTAGCAAGCCAAAGAAAGAACTGACATTTCTTAGGTGCCCAGGTCCTCCAAATCAACTCACAATGTTCAAAAGAAACTGACCCGATAAGCAATGCTTTGTAGGCTGACTTTGTTGAATAGAGACATGAACAACATGAGAAATGCCAACAGTGCTGATCAGGTGTATTAGGCAGGAGCTGGACTTCCACTATTAACTCCCGGACCTCCAAATACTCAGCAAGAGCCGTAACTGATAAAGCCCCCTGAATATCTAGAAACCAGCTCCTCTAGACCATAGCTTCACGTACTGTACGTCTTTTAGCCCTCCTTTTAGAAACCAAGGAATAGAGCTGAGGAGCAAGGAAAGCAAGGGATTTTCCATGCAGCCAATTATCAGTCCAGAAAAGAGTGGAATTTATGTCTCCAACACTGGTGATCAAAACCACAGAGAAGAGAGCTCTTACCCGTTTCCAACACTAGTGCCATATTCCATGTTGATGATTTGTGTGTACGTTGGCATACATGGCTCCATAGTTATTATTATTCATATATATCATCATGAGTCATGATGTTTTGAATTATGTGTGGACTGCAGACTAAAGCCAATGCTGAGCAGCACAACATACCATAAATCTTGTATAAAGTGCACAATGCCAAGAACATCTACGTGCTTGGTCTTTGGTTCTTCACAACCATAAGTCATGATGCTTTTTTATTTTCTATTTGTAGAAGGATAGAGAGATAGCAGAGCACCTCACACCCATTAGGTAGGGGTGACTTTCATATATATAGTAACAAGGACGTTAGTAGTTACAAAAGGACCCCTAGATATATACATATCTAACCCCCCCCCCCTCGCGCACGCGCAGTCGTAGCAGGAGGTTCACAGACGCATAGACTGGACCGAAAATCAGTAAACAACTGTACAGGCAGGCCCTTAGTCATCATATCTGCAAACTGATGTGAGGACGGCACATGCAGAACACGAACTTCACCAAGCGCGACCTTCTCGCGGACGAAGTGAATGTCGATCTCGATGTGCTTTGTCCGGCGTTGATGAACAGGGTTAGCTGTCATGTATACAGCACTGACGTTGTCACATAAGATAACGGTGGCGGAGGGTAGTGGTTGATCAGCACTAGAGCGACAGTGGTTTGACACTTGGTGACCAAGAGACCAGGTTGTCGCCGAGGTAGACGCAGTAGCCCGACGTGTAGCGGTGGGAGTCGGGGCACCCCGCCCAGTCTGTATCTGAGTATGTTGTGAGGGACTGGACAGGACCAGTGCCAATGTGTAGAACAGCAGAAAGAGTGCCCTTGACGTAACGAAGAATGCGCGCTTGACAAGGGCAAGGTGCGGCTCCTAGGGTTCATGCATGAAGAGGGCATACCTGCTGGACCGCATAGGCCAGGCCGGGGCGGGTGAGAGTAAGGTACTCTAGCGCCTCGGTGAGACTACGGTACTCGGACGGTCCGGCAACTGGGGCACCATCTGTAGCTGAGAGCTTGGACTTGAAGTCCACAGGGGACATGCCAGCACGCTAGAGAAGCTCAACAGCATACTGGCACTGCGAGAGGAACAACTCGTCAGAGGAGTGCGTTTGGAGATGCCGAGGAAGTGTAGCACCCCAAGGTCAGTCATTGTGAACTGTGAGCTGAGGTGCGTAGTGATGCGACGCAGGAGGTCCGGTGAGGAGGCCGTCAGGATGATGTCGTCGACGTAGACTAGCAAGTAGGCGACGTTGTCTCGATCTTTATCAATAAAGAGAGACGCATCGCTGGCTGAGGGCGTGAAGTCAAGCCGGCGAAGATACGTGGCAAATTGCTGGCGCCACGCGCGGGGAGCTTGCTTCAGGTCGTAGAGGGATTTCTGCAACAAACAGACATGCGTACATCGCGCGGGGAAGGGATCGCGACGCGAGGAGTACGCGCAGCCTCGGAAGAAAGCGGTCTGGAGCGCGTGGATGGAAAACGCGGCCGCACGCAAGGGTCGCGCGCGTGGAGATGTGGACGCCTAAGATTGCACGTGCGAGCGGCGTTCGCGTCGGAGCGGACGAGCGTCGGTGAGGAGTGTGCGGGAGGCAGCCCGCGAGCGGGTAGAAGACGCGCGTGGCGCTTGCGGGGCGGACGGCGCGTGGAGGCGCGCGTGCGAGCGGCACACACTGGAGAGGAGAAGGCGCACGCGCGGAGCAGGGAGCGAGCGGAGTATAGGAGTGTAGGGAAGAACGGAAGGTGCTGCGCGCGGAGGAAGGAGCGACGGGCAGGTGGACGCGCGCATGAGATCGCACGTGGGGAAGAGGAGATCGCGCGCAGGGCGTCGCGAGGTGGGTGACTGCACAGACGGGCTCGGCGGCGCGAGGGAGAAGCTAGAGCAGAGGGTATGGGGCTGGGCGCTCGACGGCGCCGGAGAAGATGGACCCGCGTCAGCGATCGGCAGCGCGAGGGAGGCTAGGGACTAGAGCAGAGGCAGGAAGAACCTGAGCGGTTGATACCATGTAGATGGATAGAGAGAGATAGCAGAACACCTCACACCCAATAAGGAGCAGTGGCTTTCATATATCTCACAAGGACGTCATTACAGTTACAAAAGGAGCCCTAGATATATACATATCTAACACTATCCATGGATTTCATTGTCCTCACTAGTGAATTCAGCTTGATGCAATGCAATATATAAACAATTCATAAGAAAGATCATGTATGTAGTACACATAAAACTAAGCAAACCTGTAAAAGTTAACTGTCAAAGACTCATTAATCCTAGATGTCAGTTAACAAAATAGGTAAGAATTCAATCTGAGTGTTTTATCCAGTGCTAACAGTACTATTTGTGTTTTTGTGAATCTTGATATTAAAGATGAATGTTGAGTTGAATTTCTCAATGTTTGCTTAACTTTGTGTGCCCATACATGATCTTCTATTGAATTTATTGGAAGATTTCAACATGTTGGGCCTGTTTGGTTGGCAGCTACAAAAGGCTGCCTAGACCAGGCAGGCTTCCCAGGCAGCATCAATCCAAACTGGCCCATTGTATTGTTGTATTTTCACTATTACTCCAATAATCCAGATTTTTTGGCTGGTCGTATAGAAGATGTAGTTTGAGTCTCCTGGTTGGATTGTGTTATATTTCTGTGTAACGGATGGTTTTTGTAAGTGAGGTCTAGCAGCCAAATATTATCTCCTAAGTGAGGTATTTAGGCTGCCTTGTATGGGCATTCTTTTCCCCTTTCTTCTCTCTCTGTAATATAAAGATGTGCCGCTCCTCTGCGTGTTTGAGAAAAAAAATGACTCCAGTATCCCTTTTCATCTCCAAAGGCACTAACGAAAGGCATTAACGATTACATGTTACGACTTGTGATATTCCTGATGTTAACCATTGGCTATGGTTGATCTCGAGTGGATCTTATGATGTATAATTTGTGTAGTGAATAGCTATGTGCATCTGCATGTGAACTATACATTTGCATTCTATGGTCGTTTTCCTTTCCGATCAATCAATCTAACAGCGTGGCTTTGATAGGTTGACCCGGTACAAGAACTTCAAGGAAGGACACAAGAGGATTCTTGTGGCTACTGATTTGGTTGGTAGGGGAATTGATATTGAGCGTGTCAACATTGTCGTGAACTATGACATGCCCGATTCTGCTGATACATACTTGCATAGGGTAATTGTTGCACCCCTTAAAGTGGTGGTTTGTTGTAGTCATTCTATTGGCTCTTCTTGACGCATTCACCTCTGCAGGTTGGTCGGGCTGGACGTTTTGGTACCAAGGGACTTGCAATAACATTTGTTTCTTCTGCATCTGATTCTGATGTTCTCAATCAAGTTTGTACTGTTGACATTGATTCTTTTTATTTATATGATATGATGTCATACTAAATCCTGACCAGAAATTCATGTATCTGATACAGGTGCAGGAGAGGTTTGAGGTTGACATAAAGGAGCTGCCTGAGCAGATTGACACTTCGACATACAGTAAGTATTGTATCTTCGAGTCATTAACTAGCATTCATGGCACTGAAATGTGTTCAGAACTGACGTGTTGTATTGTTGCCTTAAATCTACAGTGCCATCTTGATGATCGAGGTGAACTACTCTACGTTTAGTTGGAACTGGAAAGGAGAGTTTTGTTTCAAATATACATCACCTTGGAGGGCCATTTGATAACCGTATCACATTATTTGAAAGATGTTCTATCTGTACTTAATCAGCAGTTTAGGTGATTAAGCATGTAGGCTTCGCAACAGCCATGGCTGTTGGTGTTGATGCTACCTAGGATTTTATTTGCATCTCTGTTATGTTTTCTATGCTGCGACTGCTAGTCTTTCTGTTTGAGACTGCCCCCCCTGGGTGCTTGTTTTATTTGCTTTAGCTTTCGTTACATCCAATCTATGGGAATATGAAACTTTGTATTGTCGTTGGGCGTGTCATGGGGTCCTGATTAGGCAAAGTGATACGCCTGTATTTGCTTCTAATTGTGAAGACTGCGCGGCGCCGGTGGGCGGTGGCTGGCCAAGGAGAAGGCAGTGAAAACCCTCTCGGTCGAGCCAGACTCATGCATGATAGCTTTGTTCGATTGCTCGTATTCAGCCATCTGGGCTGAGTAGATACGTTGTTTGGTTGTCGTCGCATATGATAAAATGTAAAATGTATAAGACAAAAGTAGATATTATATTTATATTGTATATGAGTATGTTTTAGTACTTACAGTTTTTTTTCTTATTAAGCCTTAATTAGCACTCAAATGCACTAATATCACTTAACGTATACTAATTATGTGCTAATCACAGTGTTAGATAGAAGCCACCTCTCATCCAGCGAGCCAGGCCTATAGGAAACCGCTACCATGTACCTGCCATTATCTGCTTCACCAACGCAAAGCAAATGATAGGCCAGTATTTCTAGATGTCACCATAGTCTCTTCATTTCATTCTCCCTGCTCTTTTCAGAGGTGTGGCTGTCTCGAGCGCTGCGTGCGTGAGGTGGATGCTGCGGGGTGCCTATGTGGTGGTTGAGGCAGCACGCCAGGTAGATGCGTTGGGGAGCCCTTGCGAGGTGCGCGTGCCTCCGAATCGGATGGTGTGGGTCCCAAGTCCTAACAGCAACAACTACTACAAAACAACGTTAAAGAGCATCGAGGATTCCAAAGCTCCGCCCTACGGCCCGATGGCGATGTAGGTCACGGGTGCCGGGGGACCCCAATTCCAATTCGGCATACAACCGCTGGGCTAAATTCAGTCGTCAATTCATAGCCCGCAACCTTTTTTTATTTGAAAAAAAAAATTCGTAACCTTTCTTTTTTTTTAAAGTTATAAAGTTATACTCGTACTCCTTCCGTTTCAGAAAGAAAGTTGTTATGGGATGCGTGTAGGTTAATGTTCTCAACTTTGAATAGATTTGTAGAAAATATGTACAACATTTATATCTCCAAATAAGTTTATTATGATAGTATATTTAACGATCTGTCTAATAATACTAATTATGTATTATAAATATTAATAATTTTTATATACAATTGGTCAAAGTAAAAAAAAATTGATTTGAAAACGACTTATATTTTGAGACAGAGGGAGTAACTTTTATGTATAACTTTTTATTGACAAAACTTATCACTATATTTTCTTAGAAAGTTTCAAATTTATACACATAAATTTTATATATGCATGTGATGTTCTATGATATATTTGGTAATGTTCGCGTAGTATAGATATGATATTCTATGATGTATTTTGTAATATCCACGTAATATACATGTAATGTTCTAAATATAATTTGTGATGTTCACATAGTATACACGTGATATTTTATAATATATTTTATGATATTCAATTAGTATATATACGATGTTGTATGATGTAATTTATGATGTTTATGTAGTTTTCAAAATAAGAAGTTATTTAAATATTTAAAAAATAATAAAGTTAGAAAGTCATGATGAGAAGCTATGGTGATAAATTATTATCATATAAAAAGTTATGCGCATAAGTTATATCTATAGTTTTGTAACTTCCTAAATAAATAAATAAAGTTGTGAAAATGATTTTTTGAAAAGAAGAAAAAAAAGTCGCGGGAGGTTGGGAGATTGACCACTGGTTTTGAAACAGCTGCCGTTGGCTATTCAGTGGCCTCGGCCGGGGACACGCCGCAAACGGACCCGGTTGGCATCCCTCCCTTCCCTTCACCGCGGGGCGCCACTTCTTCTCCACTTTGCTCATCCTATCTCCTCACCGCGCGCTCTCTACCGCTTCTTCCTCTCCCGCGGTAGCAACGTGGTGAGTGAGACCGCCGCTGCTCTGCTGCGGCGGAGGCCCAAGCCGACCGGCGGAGAGCACCCGTCCATGGGCGGCGGATGCTCCTCTAAGCCACCGTCTCTCTCTGCTGCCTCATAATACCCTCTCGCTTTATCCATCTTCTAGCTTCTTCATTCACCCCCTCCAGAATCGGGTCGGGCTTGCCGATGCCGGGGTGCGGAGTAGCGGGGAGAGGTGGTGTGGGGGTGTCGTCGGCCACACGCCCCACTCCGCCACAAGGGAAGAGCCGCCCCTGCCTCCTCTCGATGCCTATCGCTCGCGGCTACGGTAAGCTTGGCTAAGACGGCACCCGAATTCATACTACTGTAACTGTATGTAGTAGTAGCTTCATCTTCCCTGCATATTTTAAATTCAATCGTAATAAAGTGTCAAATCATTGGAGTAACATACCCAAACTTGATATGACGTTGTAATATACAGGATTACCATAACTGCACTTGATTAGAGTTGCAGTATACATATTGCTCTAATGGACAAATCATTCTTAAAATTAACCCATGCATTATCCATCTTAATTCGAGCAGGACATGAACTAATTATCTATTGGATGGGATATAGTAGTACTACTTCTGTCCTTCAAATATATCAACTTCTACAGTTATCCTATATAAAAAATTTGCAAGTTTCACCGAATTTACAAAAATGGACACCAATATCTATGACACAAAATTAGTATAATTAGATACGCCATAAAATATATTTTCATAGTGTACTTATTTGGTGTCATAGATGTTGATATTCTTTTCTATAAAATTGGTCAAACTTACAAAAGCGGACTTAGGACAACTCTAGAAGTTGATTCATTTAGGTACAGTGGGAGTATACTATTTGGATAATTGATTGCATGGGACATACTAAATACAACCGGGAAGTTAATATTCTAGATTGGAATCATCTTCTTGAAACTGGCATTTTACAAGCTATATGTTTACTCTACCAAAGCAAATCTAACATGTACCAACTAGCAGTTCAGATATAAATTCATGATACCTCTACAGAGGGTGATAGGAGCACCATAAAAGAATTCAATTCAAGGAAAAAAGGTACTTAGTCCAAGTTCCAGTCCACAAATCATGAGTACATTAGTTGCAATTCGCATAAGATTCTGCAACGATGGTTGTGTCGTACTCTTAAGAATTTTTGCATCAATTGCATGTTTGGCAGAATTGAGCAGCCTTGCTTATGTTCTATAAAGATTAGTCTTTGTTGCTCCCCTGAACACTTTGCAAGTTGAAATGCTGCAACAGATCATTACTACTTTTCCACTCAAGGCCTCTTCATCTTAAATCTAATGCCTTTTGTATTCTCCAGGGAGGCAACATGAGCCGAGATATTGCACATCACCACAAAGCAAGTCTATGTTACTAGGAGCAAGATTTGGTCGACATGTTACTAGGAGCACAGCTTACCTGCTCCAAAATTCCAGGAGCACTACAATGGCAAGACTACAAAAGTCTGGGCAGTTTCTGCAACCTGTCTTGGACTCTTCAAGAAATTATTTGACTAGGACATTCTACAATGCAAGCATGAAGAGAAGGGTTCTGTCGAGGGTTGAGTGCTTTGTGTCTTCAGATCCAATAAACAATGGTTGGTTGAAACCAAGGAGGTCGGAGAACTTCACTAGTTTGGAGAGTGCATGTGTCCAGCCAGAATACAAACTACCAGTCAGAAAACGTGCTGACTGTAAAGCAGAGCAGTATGAAATTACAGGATCACCTTTGAGCTCTTCAAATGTTCCTGCTGATGTTCCGTGGTGGCAGGAGTTCCCAAGGCGCTGGATGGTCGTTCTCCTCTGCTTCTTTGCGTTCCTTCTTTGCAATATGGACCGTGTGAGTTAGACAGTAATTCTTGTATTTTGTCTCAATTTTTCTGATAAGAACAGATGGGTTTAAGTCCATTATGCACTTCTCCTTTTCTCTTCCTGAAAACATTTGCTGATTTCTGCCAGGTAAATATGAGCATTGCAATCCTTCCAATGTCGTCAGAGTTCAGCTGGAATCCAGCAACCGTTGGTCTAATCCAATCATCTTTCTTTTGGGGTTACCTTCTCACACAGGTGCTTTGCTATTGCTTGCTGTAGTTTGTTCTGATCTAATTTTTCAGTGCATTTTGGTATGTAGTTTCTGACATTACAAATGAAAATTGCTGGTGCAGATTCTTGGAGGTATTTGGGCTGACAGGTTTGGTGGTAAGGTAGTACTAGGATTTGGGGTTGTATGGTGGTCACTTGCGACAGTTCTTACACCCCTTGCTGCCAAGATTGGACTTCCATGCTTACTCACCGTGCGTGCCTTCATGGGGATAGGCGAGGTTGATGTTTTATACTTGTCTCTACATTTGCGTCCTGTAGAACTTGTGCTATTTATCCCATGTTAGTATGTTACACAGGTAGATCAGCATCCATGAAAAGAAGATCTGATGATGAAAAATCCATATTATATGATAGCTGTTGAAATTATACTGCAAATTAAATCAAGTGATATACCATTGCAGTATCTTATCTGGCTTGATAGCATTTTTGGTGAAACTCGAGTGCTTACTGGACATGCAACTTAGTTTGTTAATATTCTTGATGGTGCAGGTGTTGTTAAGGAAAAAAATTCCTAGTTGCAACAGTACAATGCTGTATCTTTTTGTTTTGTCCACCTTTATATTATTGATTTTCTCATATATATATCTATGGTTTTACAGGGTGTTGCCATGCCTGCTATGAACAACATCCTTTCCAAATGGATCCCAGTCTCAGAGAGAAGCAGATCTCTTGCCTTGGTGTACAGCGGAATGTACCTTGGGTCAGTCACCGGCCTGGCTTTCTCACCTCTGTTGATTAGCAGATTTGGCTGGCCTTCTGTCTTTTATGCATTTGGATCCCTTGGAACCGTTTGGTTTGCACTGTGGCAAAGCAAAGTAAGACCAAATCTTGCACCTATTTCTTACTTTGTGCCTCATATTCTTTGTTCTATATGGGTTCACTTAGTGAACATATGTTAATTATAAAAGTTTGCTTTAGATACCATTTTGTATTATCTGTTGCTGTATCTGCAATGCCCCTTTTTTTGTACTCATTTTGCTTATTTAGCTGAGGGCTACTATCTACTCTTATTTAGGCACACAGCTCTCCAGATGATGATCCGGAGATAAGTAAAGCTGAAAAGAGGCATATACTGGGTGGCAGTCCCTTAAAGGAGCCTGTCACTTCCATACCATGGAGGCTGATTCTATCAAAGGCTCCAGTGTGGGCTCTCATAATATCACATTTTTGCCATAACTGGGGAACATTTATTCTTCTAACATGGATGCCCACATACTACAATCAGGTTGCTACAATGTTATGCTGTGAAATGTTTGGCTTTCCTCATTGTTTAAACTATATAATGATAGCATATCATGCCATTGGTTGTGCTCCCCAAATCCTTTTATCCAGGTTCTGAAGTTCAATCTAACCGAGTCCGGGCTTCTCTGTGTCTTGCCATGGCTGACAATGGCTGTTTTTGCGAATATTGGTGGATGGATTGCTGATACTCTTGTTCAGAGAGGGGTCTCTATAACAAACGTTCGTAAGGTAAGTTGCCCTTCAGTAATTTTATTTCATGTGTGAATTTATAAGAACAGTTATGCTTAGAGGTACCGATCTTGAAATACTTTATAACCTCACTGATGCAGATCATGCAATCGATTGGTTTCCTTGGACCAGCTTTGTTCTTGACACTGCTGAGCAAAGTTCGTAGTCCAGCCATGGCCGTGTTATGTATGGCATGCAGTCAGGTTTGATGCACTTCAGAACAACCAATCATATGGATTTATAAGTAGCTTCCAACAGACAACAATTGATAACTGGTCTGTTATAAATGTTTGCTGGTTTTACTGTCCATTTTCTCAGGGTAGCGATGCTTTTTCACAGTCTGGCCTGTATTCAAACCACCAAGACATAGGACCACGTTATGCGGTAATATACTCGAGTAGATTTTTGCTGATTTAATGTTCTCTAGTTCACATAAGAGGTTTTTAGTATTAATACTAGTACTGATCTTCCTTGCTTTCTTTGGGCTTATCATTATAAACAATTGCATCTAATTCATGTCTCCAAAAAAAATTGCAGGGGGTACTTCTTGGACTGTCAAACACTGCTGGCGTGCTTGCAGGAGTTTTTGGTACTGCTGCCACTGGCTACATTCTTCAGAAAGGTAAGAAAGCTTAAAAATCAAAAGTTTTTTTCTAGTGATGCATTAAAAGTTGTATCTTTCTGTTATTCCAAACAAGACAACTATGAACTAAGGAGTGATGGTCAGGTTGAAAAGGATACCTCGTTGTAGCATAACTATAAAGCATCTTGTATATTCATTCTAACTTTCTAACTATGTCTATTCGGTTATTTTAACTCCAGGTTCTTGGGATAGTGTGTTTAAGGTGTCTGTTGTGCTGTACATAGTAGGAACAGTGGTGTGGAATGTCTTTGCAACTGGAGAGAAAGTTCTTGAATAAACTGTGGACATTCCTATATGCCACTATACGGAAATTGTCCAATTTTGCTGATGTCATTTTGGCCTACAAAATAAGTTTTGGAAGAGATACAGCTGGAAGAAACTCCATTTTATGCAAGAGATATACCTGCATCTAATGTTTGGGCTATCGGAAGAACCAAATCAAATTAGAGTACTGTGTGAGGTCAAGAAGGTACACTTGGAACTGGAGAAAATTCTTGTACAGAAAGCAACTGCACCAAGGGCACGTCAGATTTTGCTGTTGTTTCTTGAGAAGTCCAGGCTTCTGCCAAGATCACCAATCCACATCTTTTTGTTTTAAAATAATTGGCAGTTAAATCGTGTTTCACCTTGCCTTTGATTAAGGCGCTACAGCTACTACCAAACTAATGTATTATGTGAGCTTTTCTTATCGAAAACCTAAATGTATGTGCTTCAGATATCTTGAACGTCTCTGTTTGCGTCATTGCTGCTATTGTTTCGTGTAAGCTCCATAATGATATTACATGGTGATGGTATCATTTTTTTTGACACGATAGTGCCTGAAGAACAGTAGTAGATTTAATCGACAGAAATCCATTGGCCAAAACTGTGAAAAAGCAACTCAATAATTTGGTTGGTTCAGTGAACCCATAAATGTTTTTGACTTTTTTACCCCTCAAACTATGTAAATTGGATAGGTCACCTCAAACTATGTAAGTTGTATTTTAGTCTGGTTATTTTGATAGAACGGGAGCATCCATGCTACTTTAGCCCCTGAGATAAAAAAATATATTAAAAAGTTTCAGAATATTTGGCGACACACGTGCCTCTTCTATTACCACACAGAATATATGAATTTAAAACAGTACCTATATAAGGAGGAGCAATAAATACAAGTAGTACTAGGGGTTGAATTGGCTTTGCAATAGATTGGTTGGGTGAAGGAAAAACACACAAGTAGGAAAAGTGAAATAAAAAACGGATAGAGCTTAAAGATAATAGTAGTTCCGGTAATATGACCACTACGGAAAGTTTTTGATTGATAATAATAAATCAAACAAAGCTAACATTAATCGTTTAAGGGCAAAATTTTACAACATGGTGGAATATAAGAGAGAAGTAAAAAATTCCCAAAATTTATATTGGATGGAAGTGAATTTTTTATGTTATATAAGGTAGTAAAATAAGCACATTAAATTAAATATATTTTCTAACAAGATCACATAAAAAGTATCGGAGCTACAGGTACATGTATGCTTAGTATTAAGACACCGAAGAGCATTTCCACCTGATATCCTATGCAATCTCCTATATACTTAAAAAGTAGCAAAAGTAGCATTTTAGGAGATGAATGTGCCGTAGCAAATCTCCTATCTCATCTCCTATACCTATAATTTTTTAGAGATCTTCTAAAATTTAATAAAAAAGAGATCTTCTAAAAGAAGCATTCTCTCTTCAAAATAAAGGAGAGAACCCCTCCCCCTATCCCTAAAAAAATTAGGAGACAGTTTTTTGCAATCTATTATGGTAGTGTTCTCTCTCTTATATCCTAAACTAATTTTAAGGTACTCTTCTAAAACAACTTATAGGATATACAATATAAGGAATCTCGTAGAGACGCTCTAATACGGTGGGTGCAGTGAGGTAGCAGCCGGCTTCAATCCAAAGCTGGAAGCGCGACAAGGGCAAGTTTATTGGTACAGCGTCATGACCTTATAGATTGTCTCCTGTGATGGCACATATGTTTTTTTTTCTGATGTGAGAAAAAAAATATGGGAGACAGAGGTCATTGTCTCATGAAAGAACCTAAATCTTAGGACTAGAGAGCACTCTGTTAACAATACCGATTTGTCATTACTATTGAATTCAATTTTCTATGGCCATGTTCTGCTGCACTACTTCAGCAGTATTTTTCAGCGAACGGACAATGTTTTTCTCACAGATTATTTCAGCATAAGTCAAATTTCAGCGAAACGAACAGGACCATATTCACTGGGGTTGTGATATATTTGTAATGAAAATGTACGGTAACATTTATATAAAAAAAATATGCCACAATAACATTTTGGGTATAGGACCAGAGTACAAGGGAGAATTCTGATGAAGCAATAAAAAAGTAAAACGAACTTTTGGGGTGGGTTGGTACAGGACGTTCTGATCCATGGATAGCTTCTACAGTAGCATTCTACTGCCTGCTGCGATTTTTTTTTTCATTTTAACACTTTTCTCCTACAACTAAAATGAACAAAACGTGAATATTTTTTTGGTGCGGCATTTGTTTTGGTTCGTCCGTCTACCCACGCCTGCGATACCCGTCTGCTTTGAAGGAAACAAATCGACCACGTGAGGCCACATGCATGGAAGGAAACAATAATCATGCTGCTCTGAAAGGGAGGTACGTTGATGTTCTTTAAAGGATCCCCGCCAGCTTTGAAGGAAACAAATCGATCACCTGAGGCCACATGCATGGAAGTAAACAATAATCATGCATCGAAATCATGCTGCTCTGGAAGGGAGGTACATTGATGTTCTTCAAAGGATCCCCGTCTGCTTTGAAGGAAACAAATCGATCACCTGAGTCCACATGCATGGAAGGAAACAATAATCATGCATCAACCTCTACGATATTTATTTTGGTTCGTCCGTCTGCCCACCCCGACCCCTATGATATCGCGGCTAATAAAAAAAGAAAAAAAACCCCTCGTCTCTCTCGTGACCCGACGCCCGACGGCGCTCCCTCCCCCCGATGGCCGACGGCGCTCGTCCCTCCCGGCCGCGACGACGCTCCGCCCTCGCCGGCGGCGGTGGCGCTCCTTCCTCGCCGGCGACGGCGGCGCTCCTCCCTCGCCGGCGGCGCTCCCTCTCATGGCGGCCTCCCATCTCCAGCGAAGCTTTGTGAGCTCGGCCTCGGCGCGGCCAGATGCGCGGGCACGGCGGGCCCTGGCTGCATCGCGTGGGGGCTAGGACGGCCGCGCGGCAGGTACCTTCCTCTCCTAATCCCCATCTCTTCTTCTTGCGTTGGATGCTGGATGTGTGAAACCTATCTGAATGAGGAGCTAATCTGGATGTATTGCACATGCTTCTTTGCCCGCACTTGCTGATTATGTGTGAAACCTATCTGAATGAGGAGTGAAATGGCACGGTTGAAATTGAAACAAAATTGAAGTTGAATAATTCAGCTATGTATGTTTCCATGGCAGCTCTGTATGTTTTTCCAATGCACGGTTGAATAATTGGGACCAATCGATTTTGCTGATTATGCATTAGACATGTATCTTAGATATGTTTGGTAGATGATATGTATGCTGAAGCTGCTCCCATGGCATTGTTGCCGTACGTTAGATTTGTAGCTACTGCATTAAGAACATGTGAACTCCGATCAAACATTGTCGACTTCGGCAGGTATCCGCATAGACGCCGAGTATTTTGGTCCTGATGACAAAAGCATGCAGCTTCTCATGAGAAGAACAAATTAAAGCAACGTGTGTGCAAGCCATCTGTAGTGTGCGTGCATGACTGCATATACGTATATGCGATTAGAAGAGGTAGAAGGGAAAGAAACTGATCTAGAGTGCAAGTGCACACGACATATCTAAGATACATATATTATGAAGTAGCTCACTGTCTCCTCCTGCCCTCTATTTTCATTTTTTAATATATATTATGAAGTAATTAGCTTATTATAAACGTCATATATTTGAAAACGGAAATGGAGGGAGTACTTGTGCATTTTGTGTAGAGCCGCACTAGCCTAGGATAACACTGCAGCCTGCATTCTTGTTGTTTTTGCATTCACGTGTATAACTTCAGAGGAAGTGTGCAGTGTGCTACATATAGGTTGTTTGGTCATACTTTGCTTTGCAATGTTCCCTTTTCTCAATTCTCATGGCCTGGTTCGTTAGGTAATTCAGATAGATATGTCCAATCAGTGGATATGGATTATAATAAAAGGGCTGAAACTGTATCTGAGGAAGAAGATGATGAAATGATGATGCTTGTTTTTCCGACGCTATATTTAACTTCTATCAGAACTAGAACAAGAACTCCATGTTATACTTCAAAGCTTAGTGGTTCAGAATATACGCGTGAACTTCTTGAGGGCCATCTACATCGTTTTTATCATAATTTGCGTATGGAGCCATGGATTTTCAAAGCACTTGCAGATTACCTTAGTTCAAGAGGGCTTTTAAAGAGTATAAGAGGGGTTACTGTAGAAGAACAACTAGCAATGTTCATGTATATGCTTGCGCGAAATACAAGTTTTACTGCATTGTGTGATAGGTTTTAGCACGGTGGAGAGACAATACATAGACATATCGCAGCACCCTTTGATGCAGTCTCTTCATTAGCTTTTGATTTTGTGAAGCCCCCATCATCTGAGACCCATTAGAAAATATCGACCCATCCACATTTTGTACCTTACTTTCAGGTACATATAACAAATATATGTCCTGTTTCAAAATTCTTACCTTTTTCTTACATATATACTAATTACAAATAACACATCTTCTCTCCCTTGCAGAACTGCTTAGGAGTGATAGATGGGACTCGTGTTCCAATCACAATCAGTGCAAGTAAAGCAACACCGTATCGGAATAGAAAAGGAACTCTTTCTCAAAATGTGATGCTTGCATGTGACTTTGACATGAACTTTGTTTATGTTTCCACTGGCTAGGAAGGTTCAGCATCAGACGTCGGGATTCTACGTTCTGCCATTAGGTCTGGCCTGTCCCACTGCGCCACCGGCACCTGCGGCGACTCCCAGGACAGGCGGGGCAAGGTGTAGGGGCGATGGCGTGGCCACCCCGTAGCGGCACCGGCGGCGGCGGTGCCCCCTCAGATCCGGTCGGTAGGTAGGAGGAGCCTCGAGCGAGATGAGGGGCGAGCAAATCGAGCAGGATGAGGAGCGAGCAGATCGACAAGGTACGCCCTTTCCTCCTCCCTAGCTCGACAAGGTGTGGCTAGGCCATCGAGCTCCGCGGCCCCCGGCGATAGCCTGGCCAAACCCACGTGCTCGGCAGCCCCTGGCGGCGGTGCGGCCTCTGATCTAGCTACTTCAACCTTCCCCTCTCCATCGGCATCACAGGGGCGGCTCCCCCTTTCGTGGCTCCAGTCGGGCAAGCAACAACTAGAGCTTTGGCATGCTCAGCCCACATAAGAGCCCATCACGCCCAATGCTTCTCTTCTCGTCTGACCCGTGCAAGCTTCTCCTGCTCTATCAGATTCCTTGTGATTCAATGATTTTTTGCAGCATGCTGATACCCCGCTTGAATGTTGCAGTAGTGCTTCTCTTCTTGAATGTTGAATGTTACAATCTCAATGGTGACGTGAAGTTGCAGCCTCCAAGAGCGACTAAGGATAAGGAGAAGTACCATCGGTAACTACTGTACACCGGCCACATAGGTGACGATTGCTATAGGGCATATCTTTTGTATTTTCTTGGACAAAGATTAAGGTCTGGTATCGGCAACTTCTCTAATGTGATCGAAGTCTATTAGTGTCCAGATTGCTATCTGGTGGATACACAAATCATTTGACATTGTATAGTAAACTGAGAACTAGCTACTTAGGAAAAACCTTAAAGAGTTCATGTCTGATAGTTCTGTTGATCTATTTATCATTTCTATCTTTACCACATTGATTCTTCTTTCTCTAAAACATACTTGATTACTCGTAAATTCATGGTTAATGCATTAAGTTTTGGATTGTTATAGGTATGGGCAAGGTTGTCCCTCGGCCCTTACCGAGTCGGTGAGCCTACGACGCCGCGCACTCCGTGACGATGTTAATTTCACGAATTTTGCTTTTTGGATTAAATGTTACTTTAACATTTTCACGGTATTGTTATTTTATCGTGCGATCCTTTTGTTTTTAGTACAAAAGTTTTACTGTCCCGTAGCAACGCACGGGCACGCTACCTAGTTGGAAATTAATTCTAAATCTAACACTGTTTGTTTTTTATTTTTAAATCTAACACTTTTGGCCGCGCCTATTGCCATGGTGCGGCGAAACGCCTGTGCCGCGCCATGCATGGTGGCGCGGCGGGAGGATGACGTGGCGACGACCGGGGGCACTGACCGGTAACGTGGCAGGATCTGCCATGCCACCGATCTTAGCGTGGCACCGACACGCCCTGATCGATGACGCAGCAGATCGCCTGGCCCTGGCCTGCCCACGCGAGGCTCGATGTGCTCCTCCTCGGAAACCGCGGTGCCCAAAGACACGCGAGAGACGCGCCTGCGGCCTGCCGTCTGGCTCTGGCACCGCCGCTCCGCTTCTCCCGTCCCTGTGCCGTGAAGGGCACAGGCGCCGTGCCCGGTTGGTCCTGCTGCACCTGCACGCCTCCTCCGTCGCCGTCTGGCCTCTGAGACGCGCCGAAAGTTTATGCGGGTGTCTGGGCGGAGATCGTCAGGGGGGAGGAGCTGGTGGAGACGCGGCTCAACAAGGTCGCCAGTTGGTGGCTCCTCGATGCCCAGTTCTGTCAGTTTGGAGCTAACCGGGCGTTCCTGGACAGCATGAACAAGAGCAAGGAGCACGGGTTCCTCGGCTTCCGGAACACTATCAAGTCCTTCGCCAGTCGCCACATGGATCGACAGGCTAAAGGCGTACAAGATTGTTCCTTGATGCCTTTCATTTACCTGTTCCTTGTGGTTCTCCGTCCTGATGTTGTATTATACATCACGTCAAGTGATTAACATCTTTTACCTATCGTTGTTGATTTACCTGTCAGAAATCTTGTTTTACTACTGTAGCACTGTACAGAGCTTCAAGCAAAATTTATATACATATAGAAGCACACAGATTTGACATAAGACTTGTGAACTAAGAGCACCAACTATCTATGATTCACCCATTCATCTCTAACAGTCGAATTAAAATCATAAAAAGAGCATGACCAATCTCAAAATTATCTCTAAAATAAAAAAATAGAAAATAGAAAGGTGGACCAAAAAATTCATCTCAAAACAACAAAAGAAATCATCCAAAAAAAAACCTGCAAAAATACAAATTACAAGTCTGAAATGTGCTGAACAAGCTCCATTTAACCAATCCAGCAAGGAACATCTGGATATAAAACAACTTATCATGCTGGTTCATGTGGAATACAGGCAGCACACATATGTACTTTTATTTACACCAATTCTTCTTTCGTATGTACTAGCAAGGAGGTACGTACTCCTAGCAGATATAGCATAGGAGCTTAAAAAAATATGAAATTAGTCAGGTTAAAAATTATTCAAGGCACATTAGGGTAAAATGAAACCCAAAAGTACTTGATGCAAATATCAGGTAATCAAGAAAAGAATGCACATCATATAATTCTATTTTGGAATAGAATGAGCTGCAACTCTGCTGATAAATATAGCCGTGTATGTGGGAGCATTCAACAGTTGAACAGTAAACATACAAATTCAGTAAAAAGGTGCTCAGTTTTCAAGTGTGGTTGAACAATAAATTATTTACTATACGAAAAGACAAAGACAGACTTCGATTCTGAAACAAGTTCGACATTCTCTTTCACAATCTTTTTGAAGCATTCTATGTGATAAAACACAAAATTCAGAGTCTTTTTTAAGCTTTCTATGTGACAATGTTTGACATGAACAAAACTGAATCGAGCTAGCACAGACGTCCAAGATTGAATAGAGTTATTGCAAATGTACTTCCCCATGAAAAATGACTGGAATCCATTTTTTGCACCACACAGATGATAGCATTCACCTTCTTGGGCTCTGCACACCAGATAAGAAAGAACCATATCAAATCGAGCAGGTTAAAGGATAGGACAAGACGAGACATGAGTGGATACGGATCATGGAAATCAGGTAAAGAACACTTGAGGAGCTGTCGTCCTCTCTAACTCTACTACTCCTAGTCTAGTCCGGTGCAGGAGCAGTTACCACCGTGTCGATCTGACTCCAACACTAAAATAAAGAGGGCCCTCTAGATAATGACTAAAGAGGGACGGGAGAAGAGGAGCGGCGGTGCCAGAGCCAGACCCAGACCCAGACGGCAGGCCGCAGGCGCGTCTCTCGCGTGTCTTTAGGCGCCGCGGTTTCCGAGGAGCAGCACATCGAGCCTCGCGCGGGCAAGCCAGGGCCAAGCGATCAGGGCGCGTCGCTGCCGCGTCAAGATCGGTGGCGCGGCAGACCCTGCCACGTCACCGGTCAGCGCCTCCAGTCTTCGTCGCGTCATCATCTCGCCGCGCCACGCCATGGCAATAGGCGCGGCCAAAAGTGTTAGATTTGGAAATAAAAAACAAACAGTGTTAGATTTAGAATTAGTAAAAAGTGTTAAAATTAAAAAAAAAATCCCTGCTGCCATGGTCACCAGGCGCCAGCCAGCCCATCTTTGCACTGCTTCTCGATAGCTGTCTCTGAACTCCAGTCCAGCGTGGGCAGGACAGCCATGGCTTCCCCATCAATGGCGAGAGAGCCCTCATCCTTTCCAGTGAAGCATTTGGTTTCGAACTTTACCCTGCGCGGAATCAAGCGGGGTATGGGTTACAACGTCTGACGTTACGATGAAGTCTTAATCATTGCGTTGGTATGGTAATAAAGAGGAGAGGACGGCTGCGTAGGAGGACATACAGGTACCGGCTTGTGCTGCCATTCCCCGCCATCATCCGGATGTGGAGCGCCCGGACTTGAGCAACCACCTCGTCTCCGACGTACACCGGCGCCGCAAACCGCAGGGTCTGGCTCGCGTACACCGCGCCAGGCTGCACCAACCGACTGTGAAGCCAAGCCAAGCCCCGGTGTTAGTCTAGTGCCCATGCTCATGTGCCGTTCGACGAAATGCACAGCGGGGGAAAGAGGTGGAAGCGTACGAAGTGGGCGGCGATAACGGAAGGGAAGACGGAGGCCACGAGCATGCCGTGCACCACGCGGCCGCGCTGGAACCCGCCCACCTCCCGGGCGATCCCGTCGTCGAGGTGCACCGGGTTGCGGTCGCCGCTCACCGCCGCGTACGCCGCCACGTCCGCTCCCGTGAAGTGCCGCCGCTCGCGCACGGCGTCGCCTACCCTCAGCACCCGGTTTGGCGAGGACGCGGCCGTCGTTGAGGCGGTGCGAACGACAGGGAGGATCGCGCGGACCAGGCGCATCGCGGTCGCCCAGGGCCCAGCACGGACTAGTAACTCGGAACGAGGGATCAGATCCAATCTTGTTCCTATGATGAGGGAGAGCAGACTATGGTCTCCTTACCCTTTTGGCCTGGATTAACGGAAAGTCTTAACGAAAGAATCTGGTTACTGTAGTAAGAACTGGTTGGCCTACTCATCAGTTTATTAGAGCATCTATATGTGGTCTATTTTTATTAGACCCTCCGTCCATTAAAAAATACAATTAAGGGATCCGCGCCGGTGAACTTTGTTCAATTTTGATCGAGTTTATAGTAAATAGTATTAGCATTTATGTCTTTAAATAAATTCATAATAAAAATATATTATATAATTAATCTAATTATATTTATTTTGTATAAAAAATATTAATAGTTTTTAATATAACTTCAATCAAAATTTAAATTGATCGACTCGTCATGAGAATTGCATTCATTTGAGGAGGTAGAGAGTACAACTCTAACAATACTATCTGCCTACTTTTGCAACGACATACGAGACCCAGGCGCGGGCTGCATCCGTGGTGGTGCTGGAGCAAAAGAGGCGGACCGGTGGAGCACGAGAAGGGAGGAAGCCTGTGCTTTCCGTGGAGGGACGACGTGTAGGGGGAGAGTGTGGAAAGAGAAGATGAGATGCGGAACCTGCAAGGCAGTGTCATGGGGGCATTTTGGTCCATACCAAATTACAATTATCTCTTTGTGGGTCCAAACGTTGTTGGATACGTAAAATAAAGCATGGTTCAAATAACACAAATTATAATAATTTATTTAGAATCGAGGGAATATATGTAGATGTATACGTTGATTAGCCTACTTATGAAGCATATGCATAGCCGATTCTTTAGGGAAAATGTTTTTCCATGTACATTTTTTGAAATATTATTCTCCTTGTACGTGACTATGTGAAACGTGAAACGGAAGGAGTATGTAGAAACTAATTCTCTATAAATTTTAGCATGGAAAATACATTGGGAGGTATGGTAAGTAACTCTAAGAGTTGCTCCAGCAGCTCACTAATAATCATCCCTAATATAAAAGTATCGGTGACCACCAATATTACTTTTTGGTATTATTTGTAAAGTTATTGCAACAAATCACCAATATATCAACCCCAATACACACTTACATAAGGAACCTGTAAATCAATACTCCCCCTACCTCTGACCTATGTACTAGTTTGGCTTCCCTTCCTCCGCGACATCCTCCTTGTACTAGTTTGGCTTCTCTTCTCCACGACCTCCTTCTCCTTCTCCTTCTCCACCACGACCTTCTCTCATGTTGTCCTTCACTCCCCACGATTTCTCCCAAGTCGTCCTCCTCATGACCTCCTGCACGGCTCTCTCCCGCCGCCCTTCTCTCCCCGCGACTTCCTCCTCCTCACGCCACCCTTCTCTCCCGCGACCTCCTTCTCCACCACGCTTTTCTCGTGTCGTTCTTCTCTCCCCCATGACCTCCTTGTACTAGTTTGGCCTTCTCTCTCTCCCGCCGTCCCTAGACTAGATTTGTTTAGCGCATGTTGGCCTCAGCGTCGACAAGGCACGCACAGAGACCTAGATTTGTCACATATCACGGACCTCCTGTGCACGTGCGGAGGTAGGTGGCAACAGTTGACTCGAACAAAAAAGGGTGGGTCGTGGGCCCAAGCTATTGGAGGAGATGCTCCTCTCTCCTTAGTTTGAGGGAAGATAGAATATATATTGATGGTAAAAAAAGAAAGACCTATTGAGAAAATTATTGGAGCAATAAAATTACCTTAACTCCCCAGTATGATAGTTTTATACGAACTCCCTCTGTTGGAGCAACAAAATTACTCTAACTCCCCTGGTATGACAATATACGGATAGAGGCAGTTATTTAACTACCCCAGTATGACAGTTCTATGGGAACAGAGGTACTTCCTCCATCACAAATTACAAGACGTTTGACTTTTTTGACCTCAAATTTGACTACTCGTCTTGTTCAAAAAAATTTATGCAAACATCATCAAATTTAAGTCATTCTTGAATAACTTTTATTAATAAAGCAAGCCACGACAAAAGAAGTGATATTTTGCATAAATTTTTAAATAAAACGAATGGTACATATGTCAAAAAAGTCAAGCGTCTTATAACTGAATGAAAAAAGTAGTTATTTGAGAACTGCTAGAGATGCTCTAGGGCCCTACTATGTACACTCGCTGAACTCAACGTGCCTGTAGTTAAATTGATTCGAGTCATTGATAGAAAATGAAGCTTGTGGCACAAACTTTTGGTTCAGAAAGGCTCTAGTTTTGAGTTTTTTTTAATGTATATATATTCTTATCAGGAAGACACGGATGAAACCGCTTGGTGCATATAAATCAGATCCAATGTCAAGGCGAAAGCTTTCCCCTGAAATCCTTGTTCTATATTTTGACAATACAAAATGTACTAGATTTGAAATCCTAAAAATACATATCCCGGTGAATAATGGCCAACCGCATCGAAGCGAATTCGACAGTAGCCACTTTGCGAACTGGAAAAATAATTAACATCATTCATGGGCACAAAAACTAGTGTTGCATTCGTGACACAGAAATGTAGAACCACTTCGGCCTAACTCTTTGATTCCGCCATGCGGGCTTTGTACAGGCAGATATAAGCCATGTGCCAGTCACCTGTATAGACAAACACTAGTCTGCATTAAAATCGTTCATGACATATTTCATTTGATGTGTAAGACGGTTGCTCACCTCCACCAGATAGTTTCAAAATGTCTTCCTCCTTGCGAATGTTTGGATTGTCATCATCAAACTCGATCCATTTTCCTGATGGTCAATATGAAATTTCAGTAACTATATATAATAATAAAGTGAAACAGTTTATTATAGTATCTGGGCTGTAATACTAGTTGACTGACCGTCATCTTGCTTAACCCAGCCAACATAGTGGCCAGAGTCTGCACTTCTTCCCTTGTGTGTCAAGACAGCAACCAAATCATAGACGCCAGTTAATTGTTTCTTTGGTAGAGAAGACTCAGCTGCATTTAACACATGAGCAAACTTAGTTTAAAAGCTAGTAAGATAACACTAGCAGTGTCCTCGATCATTACAGGTAGAGGGTGAAACTTTTTGGATCTTAAAAATATAATCCCAAGAAATAAAGTTTGACAACAAGGCAATCACACACTTCTATCATTACAAAATGAGGGCAGAAACAAACAACTTGCCTTTGTCAATGTCCATACTGGACGATTCCCCAGCACTACTTGATGACTCCTGAAATGAAATGCCATAATTGCATGACAATGGATTGAAGATCCAAAAACTGAAAGCTTAATGTGACAGAGTTGAACCATTTATTTCTTCACAGCTATTATTTATGATTCAATGATACCCTGGGTACAACACAACCATTACCTCATTTTCTTTTGAGCTGCTAGCTTTCCCATGTGCTTTCAATCCGAACTTTGCATTTTCTGCATCTCTCAGCATCTTTACATGCAAATTGAGCATCCAAAATTAATACTGTAACAATAATGTTGGCAACTCAAAACTGAATAGTGAAAAGAGAAAGCACCTGCCGAGGAGCTTGGAGTTTCTGTTTCAGTTCATCAGAGCAAAATTCATAAACATCCAATTCCAGTGGGTAATCAACTTTCTGGAAATAAAATAAAACACAAAAGAGAATTATTTTAGCAAATAAGGAAAAACATGTCTAACACCATAGTAGTAGAGACAAAAATGACAAGATTCCATATAAAACCTAGTTGCTATAATCATCAAATCATTGTTCAAGGGAAGGGAGTAAAAGAAACTAACATACTCGTAAAATCTTTGCCTTTTGGTTTGATTCCCTTTTCCAAAAGAAACGAACGAACTGCACAGTCAAGTACCTAAAGGAAGGAGTATTATGTAATTTTTTTTCTGTATAAACGAGGACACAAGTGAAATGCAAAGATTTAATGTACTTGCCTAGGCAGCTCATTTATTCTTGATTCTCTAGTATAAACTGCAGTTCGACCCAGTGTAGGTGAAGCTTTCTCAAGTTCTGTCTTCAAGCCCTGTACAAAGAAAATGCGAATGATTGAGATCTTTCATCTTATGAAAATTCTGAAGGAAATCTGTAGAAACTAATGTGACAGGACATGACAAGATATTCTATTTTATTCTCCCTTTCCCCTCCCACAGAAGACACAAGAACAGCACAAAATGCAACAGCGCCCACCTCTTTCATTGCATCAATAACAAAAAAAAGGGGTTCTTGGAGGTGCTTGAACAAGCGTCATCTTTCATTTTAGGAAAGAATGGAGGAGGCAGGTGATAGTTGCAGGTTATTTCTGAAAAAACTAGATTATCTGACTTCTGCAAATTTGAAGTTTCAGTTATACATACCAGAAAAAACTGGTTATAGAACTTGGGATACAACATAGGGTGGGGGTGGCACAACATTACTTACATGCTTAATTCCCTCATGAAGATGGTTCACATCTTGAGATATATGACACTTAAGGGAATAAACTGATTCTGTCTCCGTGCTCTCCTCACCACTTTCTGCACAGTGGACCCTATAGAAGTAAAAGCATTCATCAACAAATATGAAATATCACAAGTTCACTGCAAGCAATTCATCTTTGTAACATGCATATCCAGTCTACCAGACGTTATGACAAATACCAAATGGTTATCCATAGAAACAGAATATGAAACACCTACTAACAATAAGATAAAGGCCAATTATAAACATAAAATAAGATGATGTTGTATGTTGGATCCATCTGTGTTCTGTATAAGATGTATAAAACAGAATCATTAGCCTTGTGTTAATATAGCAGGGTTCTTTTTGGCGGGTATCTAATTAGCATGTGGTCACGTAATCTTTTTCTGGTTTGAACTGGCCCTGTACCATTTTTTTTTTCTATAATGATATGCTATTATGCGCACCTCTCCTGCCTGTTTGAGTAAAAAATAAACAGTCGCACCAAACTACAATTGTACAACAAAAAGTAACATATACAAATATATAGGGAATATAATACAAGGGAGGAGGGAGAGAACCTGCTCACGAGATCTATCCCAAATAGTTGCTTCATCGGAAGAACTGCAGATTCGCTATAGGAAAAAAAAAGTAGGCAAATAGTTTTAGGCAAAGTAGCCAAATATTGCCATAAAAATTACAGGGAGTCCACTCTACTTTGTAGAATTTAAAAAAGGGACCACAAAGATAAATTCGATAAATATAAATGGTGACAGGGTGAAGTGCCATTAGTTGACAACAAACAGGTTACCTTGAATCTGAGGTAAGAGTTTGAGAAAGTGTATACACCAACTGTGTCCAGCATTCTTCTGCATCCTGTATTTTTTTTTAAAAAAAATGAACATCATTACAGAAATTCAAGAGTAGATAACAAAACTGAAACGTAGGTGATTAGACGGAACCTGTTGCATGTAGACATTATTATGCTGCTGCGCAAATTGCGGGTATTTTTTACGCAGTGTCTGCTCAAAGCCAGACAAAAAAAAAAGAACTGTCAGTATTATACATATTTTACCCTCATGAGCCCTCAAAATCTACAACCAACCAAACTAGATCACATAATTCAATTAGGACTTCATAAAGCATACAATTCCATAATCATGGCAATATATACTGAGGAAATTAAGTCCATATTTTCTTGAACTATCAAAACAGTAACAGAGTACTTGAAACTGAGGGAACATAGCTTACTGTCTCCGCTCGGAAACGCGCGACCACAAATATAAGGCCCTGTTTGTCTCCGCTGAAACGCGCTGCCGACGCGGAACCAAACAGGGCCTAATGATGCAGTCACTAGTTTGCATAAACTAATAGTAAAATTCAAATGTCTGAACAAACAAATGCCATGGACATTCACATTTTCAAGAGAGTTCCCCTCATCTGACTCCAGAATTTCAAGGACAACAATGATGAAATGAGCTCTTCTGCACCAGAACTAAGAAAAAATATACTTTACTAGCCTAGATACAATAGCTTAATGATGGTGAGCTTACCTGCAAGAATTGTAGGGGTGCAACAGGGCGAACACTTTGATCAAGATCACCAAAGGTATTACGAGTAGCAAGAGTCAAATTATGAGAAGCTTGGTCAATGCCATTACCTCTTACAGCATCTGGATAGCTGGGCAAGTAGAAAAGAATGATATCAAACACCAAATTGAAAGCCTCTTCAAAATTAATACATAGGAAATTTTAGGTTAAACCTTAGCAGCGCTGACTTCAGCTCTGGAACAGAATGCAGACATTGCAATGTGGAATTCATATAGCATGTATTCCCAAGATTATAAAGACCAGCACTGTGACCCTAAATATTAGAAGGGCAAACTCATTTCAGTAAAGATGATAAATACTATCAACAAAAAGATAAAAAAAAATGTAACATCACTGATACTAATCACAGCAACGACAAGATATGATTTCAATATTGACAGCTAATCATGCAAGAAGAGACAATATCTATCATAAATTTAACAAAATTGGCTTGTACATCAGGATGATCTTACCTGCGCATAAAGTTCCTACTCTTATATGTCAATTTAGACTGTTCTATTATAAATACATTAAAAAATCCCAAGTTGCTAAAGAATATGTTTTCAAGTTACCATCACCCAATGCCATTGGGACACACAAAGCATATGCTCCCATTTCATGTATGTGCACAGGAAGCATACTGTCATGACGTGTACACGCGATCAGCTATGATTAGCAAATTAACCATTCATTCTTAGATAAGGTAATAACTAACAAACTAAGAATAGGCAGCACATGCACAGAATGATATCCAGTATGTACCAGTGCAACCACTTGCTCTTCTTCTGGTAGATCCTCAACAAACACTGGACCTTTCTCTGGAGCTTTCACAATCTCATCAGCCGTGCCTATCATCATCAACTTTTGGCCCTACAGAGCGCATTTCAAATTCAGTTCTAATTTGAGGCAACATAATACAGCATTTGAGCACTTGATGACTTGATACAACAAAATATGAGCACAGAAAATAAGTCAAGCATCTCACATCTTTCACTCCCAAAGTAGACCAATCTGCATCATCCTGTATTATGCACAGCAAACATGTCATCCAGTTATTACAATGTATGAATGTCCAATGGACACAAATGAATCTATAAGCACTAAACAAAATAGTATACCTTCAATATTCCACCCTTCACCATAATTTTTTGGCGTTCAGGTGGCACACCAGTAAGTGTGTACAGCTGACTCTTGAAAACAATCGGAGGCTGGCTAGTGTCAATCTCTATGCCTGGAAAGACCTCCTTCTGCCATTTCACGCTTACTGGAAATCATTCAAAAACCATTAGCTATAGTACCCAGTGCAGAGAGCTCCCGCTCTGTGCAGGGTCTGGGGAAGGGTGTCAGTGGCAAGCCTTACCCTCGCCTGTGCAATGCGAGGAGACCACGACTCGAACCCGGAAGCTATAGTATGAAAGAAAATATGTCTGCGCACACATGGAACTAATATTACAAAGTAGGCCATAACACCAAATTCTGGTGTTAAAACAGAAGCTTATCTCCAGTAATTAGAGATGGATAAAATTGCCTTCCTTCTATGATTTGTAAATATATTAAGACAACTTGTAAAGAAAATCAACAGGAAGTTTCATGCAAAATGATTTATTGAGCACTGTAGCAAAACAAGGAGCTAGTAGAGAACGCCAAATATTGCACCAGAAATATTCATATAGCATGATCCAGATAACAATATATGAAAGGAAGCAAAAGAATAAGAGCAAGGAACTCTTATGGACAGATGCAACACTATCATAACAGAATTCTACACACAACTGCACATCAAGTGAATAATCAGCTTGCAAAAATGAATGTAAAACTTACTGGTTTTCAATTTTTCTATAATAAATTAATAATGGAACAGGTGGAGCAAGGAGCATTATACACACAAAACACAAACAATCCACACCGCAAAACAAAGACATCAGGTTTGCAATTCAGCCTATGTTCGCTATACATGTCTTATATTTTTTAGGATTTATCATATTCAGTGAGCCCTAGCAACAAGCCTAAGCACAAGTGGCATGGTTCCACTGAAGGACAGCGTACAAGGCCCAGTTGGCTGCTTTTGGTGGGCAGTGAAAAATTCATGGCATCAAAGAGAATACATTTAACACAATGCGTAAAAGAGGAATTAAACCATTGACACCTATAACTTTGAGCCTAGAACTGAGCGCCACACTCACCTACAACCGCCACCTCTGTGTTTCAAAGCCAGAACACCAAGATACCACAGGGTCCCACATTGCAATTCCAGCTAAATATCTCAGTCACAGTCACAGACAACTGAAGGGCGGGCCTGGTGCAAGCGGTAGAGTCTTACCGCCTGTGACCGGAAGGTCCCGGGTTCGAGTCGCGGTCTCCTCGCATTGCACAGGCGAGGGTAAGGCTTGCCATTGACACCATTCCCCAGACCCCGCACAGAGCGGGAGCTCTCTGCACTGGGTACGCCCACAGTCACAGACAACTGGGGTTCAGGACCTCATGCTAGTGCAACCATATGCAGGTGACCTCCATGAGCCAAATGTAACCATACAGCAATAAGTCACAGCATGCCCCCACACTAAAAGGCAAAAACAGAAATCCAAAAATGAAAACAAGGGTTATGTTTGTTGATTTGTTGGTATTCTACCATATCAAAGCAAGTCAGAGTAGCTCAGTCTTATGTCGTCTATATCTCCATTTTGGAAGTGAGCCAGAAACCATTGTCATAAGTGGTGGAGTGTTTAGCACTTAAATTAAGCAAACAAACATCAAGGAATATGGGCAATTAGGAACACAACTTTGTCATGGCCCTGCCCGAAATTAGGTCCCTCCAACTACTATGGATCAAAAAACACTTTGCAAGAGGGGACACACAACACATACAATTATTCTAGCGTAGTACCTATAGTTCCTCTGTCATGGACCCAAAAGACACCAGAGCACACATCCGCAAGCAGCAAAGGCAAATGCAGCAAGGGAGCCTAGAGCGCCACGTAGCACCTCTGTGAGCGTGGAGTCTGGCATCCAGAACCAAACCCTATGTTCCCAAGCAAACTTCCGGAACCACCAAAACAATCCCGAAGCAACCCGCGACGCTACGGCGCCACAACAGCAATCCATCGCCGCAATCCGATCCCCGAACTTCCCCTCGACCAAGAGACCAATCGAACCGAGCAGAGGCCCCCTACGGGCGCACGCAGAGCACGTATTAGTAGAAAAAAAATAACCTACCGCCGCCGATTCGACCCAGAACCGGAGGACTCGTGGGCGATGAGATCAATACCACGGCCCTAGAAATCGACAGCCCGGGGCGGGAAAGGAGGAGGAGGGGAGAGAGGAGCTCACCAGTCGGCATGGCGGCTGTGCGTGACGCTGTGGAAACGGGGTTTACTTGCTGGAGGAGAAAGGAACGGGGGCAGCACAGGCACAGGCACAGGCACAGGCAATGAGAGGGTCGAGAGCGCAGGGGGGCAGCGGATGTTTTATGCGGACCATTCCTCGATTGGAGACGCCGTAATCCCAAACCCAGCCGGAGCAATTCTGCTGCCCGGTGGCTTCAACCCGTGGGCCGTGAAGTGCTGAGGGCCCATTGAGTACGCACGCCATTAATATTAATATTTATTTATTTATAATCGTGCGCCGGCAGGGATTCTTTAAAAAAAAAGCAAATATGACCGTGCATTGGATGTACGGCTTGTTGACGATCACCCTAACGATCTACGTTTTAGAGATTTATTTAACGATAATGATTTATTTAATGAGCATGTCTGTCGGCTAAAGATGCTTGGCAGTCCGCTGACAGATATGCCTACGATGATAGATTGATTGGTAGAGGTGCGTGTGATCGGGAACTAGTTGATAATAGAGACACAAGACACAAGATTTATACAGGTTCAGGCCGTCAATATGACATAAAACCCTACGTCATGTGTTCTATTAGTTTGTATTGCTGGAATACGAAATGAGATGTGGGATGGGGACGCTGACTAAGAGACCCCTGCCCCTTCTTATATACTCTGAAGGGGTTTGGTTATAAGAAAAATTTCCTAGTCAGTTATATGGTAAGTTACAATATCCATAAGAGTCCTAGTAAATCAAATCTTCTAAATGTATTGCGATATACGCCGAGCAGTGTCGTGTGCCGCAAGTCTTAAATCTTATGGGCTGAACCACCCCTGACCGTGCGGGCCATATCCCTTGCTATGGGTATTTATGATCGTACCCCCACAATGCCATCTATTCCAATACAAGCAAACTTCGTACCATCGTTGCATGTCGTGAAATCAGACTTCTCATCGTCAATTGTCATATGTTGTGCTTGGAGTCCGCGTTATGTACATGACATGAGAAACATAAGGGTATTGCATAAAGTAGAAAATTTTGGTTGGAAATACTTTTTTAGTTTTATATGTCCACCGAGACTTTAACGTACAACCTATTATATGATAACTTTGTGGTAGATCTGAACCCGTCCACGAGCCTTAGTGGCCAAGCGACGTCAACAGAAAAGATGATATTTTTCTCCGTCCTGCTGCGTAGACAAATTATTCTCAATCCGTGCTTGATCCGAAACATTTATTTTAGCTATTTTATACTATATAAATCATAAACTGCACTGGCGGCCTTCCTTGGCATGGGCCTGACCTGGCCCAAAAAATAGGTCTGGCTTGTCCAGGAACCGTCATGGATGGGATATTTTGATCTAAAATAGCCAGACTTTTTCTGGCTCGGCTCAAGCTTACTCTGGCCCATAAATTGCTCAGGTCTAGTGACGACATAGGTTCAAAGAAAAGAAAATGGAAAAGAACAAACATAAAAAGTTAAAATGAATAAGAATACATGAAAAAAAACCACTGGAACATAAATTGAAAATGGGAAAACACAAAAAAGGCATGGGGAAAATTGAAAAAAACGAAAATTGAAAAAAAAAACCTAGAAAAACATAAAAACGACACTTCTTAGAACGGACTCCTCAGACAGGAGTTTGTGCTGGTAGACGGAATGGAAGAAAACATAAGAAAAATTAAAGAAGAAGAAAAAGATGAAAATCGTTTATATTTTTTAAAACAATAAACCATAGGAGCGGAGGGAGGGTCGGCAAAAAAATTCTGCACCTAATCGGAACCGGAATTTTTTTTATGAAGCAGAGTGGAGGAACATACAAAACCATATAACCTCCCAGATGCGTACAAAAGAGCTGAAAAAAAGGAATCGGACTCTCTTTTATATTTTATATAATAATATTACAATCTATCTTTTTTTGGTCCAGCTATCCAATATTCTTTTGGGTCCGCTTCGTAACCGAGTTTCCGATTTGTTTCCATAATGGAGTTTCCGATTTGTTTCTTTTTTTGTTGGGCTCAATTTTCCGATACATGTCGGCTGCTCTGTTATTTTCGAGTTCTTTTTGTTTTTGGCTGCTCTATGTACGGCTGGTTGTACGGTTGGTTTATTGTGAGAGAAAAATATAATTCCACGGTTGATTTATATTAATTAAAGCCGACTGAATAACACAAGTGAACAGACCAATTTATTCCTGTTTCCATTTTGTTTTCCTTCTACGTTTTTTGGCCGTTGTTTCATTGTTGCAATAGATAACGTCTCGCGATTATTGATATAGAGTCAGCGTGCTATCCATATCTTGTACGTGATATGTTTCATTGCAACGTACGGGCATGTTTTCAAGTCTATATAAAATAGACTTATAAGCATGGCTTATGAGTCCAGGTTATTTTGAGTCGGACTCCATATCGCGCTAGAAAATAAAATAAGATTTTATCTAATTTATTTTCTATTTAAATTAAATTTCTATTCCTGTTCAGTTTATTCAGGCTCGGAGAGATCTATTTGTCCTATAACTATCTAGGGTCATATAAATCTAGACGGAAGAAACTCTCGACCATCGGTAGTTAGGGAAAGGTAGACGAAAAAAATAGATGGACGAAAAAAATAGCCAAAAATTTTACCTTTTTATTATTAGGTATAGAAGAAGCTTGAGTTTTAATTTTCACATATATTAGGTATACTAGTAAACATGCACGCGTGTTGCACTGACGAAAAGTCTCTTACATTTAAATAAGGGACAATTGTCTGTTGAAGATCCAAAGTGACGGTCCTTCGCTGATGGACTTCCACTTTGGAGCATTTTGCCAGAAGACACCCTGTTTCGGTGAAATTAGGCCACATGACACCACGAACCGGTTGTAGCCGGTTGAGGAGAGAGAACAACGGTGAAATAACATTCTTGCTCCTGTCGCTTTTCTTCTTCCTCTCTCTCTCTTTTTTCTGTTTCCTGTCCCCGCAGTTCAAGCAAACAGCAGTGCGGAGGAACGACTGGTCTCCTACCAAGCAAACCAAAGGGCGTTGTCGCGTCGAAGCTATGAGTGACATGCCAATACCAGTGGCGACAGCACGAGCGCTTGGCCGCCGGTGAAGCAACGAACTGGAGGTGTAGGTGCAGGCGTGCCGATGCCGATGCCCGCGGCAGCAGCAGCGACGGAGGTGGAGGCGAGCTGGTTCTTGTGGTTGTGCATCCACACCTTGAGCACCTGGCGCTTGACCCCGATCTCATCGCAGAAGCGGTCTAGAGCGTCGTCGTCGTTCCGTTGGATGCGCCAGCCTTGCTTCTCCACGAACTCGTGCATCCGCTCCTTCTACTCGGGCGTGAACTTGGTCCGGAACCGCTTCCGCCCGAAGCTACCGCTGCCGCTACCCCCGACGCTCCCGGGCACGAAACCGATGCCGACGCCGATGCCAAAGTCGTCCGTGCGCGGTGGCGGCTTGGAGTCGGCGCCGTGTCGAGCCACGGGGGCGGGGGCGACGACGGCGGCGTTAGGTACGGCATGGTACGGCAGCACGAGGTGTGGCGGTGCTGGCACCGGCACCGACGACGGGAACAAGGCCTACAGCGCGGTGGCCGTGCCCTGGTGGAGATGGTGGTGGTGTAAGTGCTGTTGCTGTGGCTTCGACGGCCCGGGCAGCGCGAGCGACGGCGGCGGGCGAAAGAAGACGGACGATGCGCACGACGAGCCCGGTGGTGCCAACGCGGCGGCGCCCGAGGCGACGCGGCAGTGGAAGCTGCGGTGGCACCTGCAGGCCGTGGACTTGAGCGAGTCCGGTGAGGAGGCCATGTACTTGCCGCAGCCATCAAAGGCCTGCCCGCCCATGGCCCGCATGTACTCCTTGTACTTGCCGCCCCCCGCGTCGCCCCCCGTCGTTGGCGCCATCGTAGGTCAGGAAACAGAAAAAAAGAGAAAGGGAGAGATGAAGAAGAAAGCGGTAGGGGCAAGAATGTTATTTCACCGCTGTTCTCTCTCCTCAACCGGCTACAACCGGTCCGTAGTGTCCTATAGCCTAATTTCACCGAACCAGAGTATCTTTTGGTAAAATGCTCCAAAGTGGGTGTCAGCTAGCGAAGGACCATCACTTTAGATGTCCAACAGATAATTGTTGAAAGGACGTAGGATGCTGCGTAGAGGGGGGGTGAATAGGCATTTCTGATAATTAACACCTTTAAATGCGGAAACGATTAGTAAAGGGAGTTTCCAAAATGGAAACTCCAAATAAAGAGTAGTACCACCCCTCACAAGTTAGTTAAAAAATTTATCTAGAAGCTACAACCCTACAACACAAAGTTAGAACAGAGAATGAATAAATTCAGAAAAGGCAGAAAATACCGGACGTGTCCGGTAGCTATACCGGACGTGTCCGGTATACACGGTTTCAGTGGAACAGCCCTAAACTTGCTCCTTTCGATTTCTAACTTCAAATCAAATTACAGGTACCTACTAGATATGACAATATACATAGATAACCTGCACAAGAGCAAGGGCCACACAAATATTAAATGAAATACGAATTGAGACACGATATTTGTTTTACCAAAGTTCGGACTCGTTCGAGTCCTACTCTCTGTTGAGGGGGCTACGGACGACCCAGCGAAGGTCAGCCCTAGAGGGTACCACGAAGGTCACTCTAGCCGGAGTCTTTTCCAACTTCTTTTCCTCCTTCCACTAGATGATTCTGAGGCGGTGGAATCGACCGTTACAAACTTTCTGAGGCACACCACAATCTCTCGGGTGCTCTCCGGCGACACCTAGCCGTCTAGGACCGAAGAGTCCAAGAGTAATAAATGCAAATCATGAGCTTGACAATATGCACAAGTGCTCAAGTGGTTGGATTGCTCTCTTTTTGAACTTCTCTCAACCCACTTATTGATTTGGTAATTTGGATCACACACTCACTAAGAGAGGGTTTGGGAGAGTTAGCAAGGCTCAAAAAGGTGTATAGCAACCAGTAGAATCAACAGCCTCCAAAGGTGGAGGCTTGGGGGTATTTATAGCCCCCTTGAAAAACTAGCTGTTTTATAGCTGTTGCCATACTGCATACCAAACACGTCCGATATGACTTATACTACGCCAACGGTTACTGAGTTATAGTGATGTTGTGAGGCGTCAGAACTCTCGACAAATACCGGAACTTCCGACCGTCAGAACTCCCAACTCATGTCGGAACTCCCAACCCTCAGCATATTTGAAAACCATGTAACTGAGTTAAAGTATGTGAGGTGTTAGAACTCTCGACTCATGCCAGAACTTCCGACCGTCGGAACACCCGATCACGTTGAAACTCCCGATCCTCAAGGCTTTTGAAAACTAGCCGTTGGCCTCTGGTCGTCTATACCGGACACGTCCGGTATGACTAGGACAGTGAACCATCTAAGTTAGTTAATCGTGAGACGTCGAAACTCCCAATCATTGCCGTAACTCTCGACGAACCAACCCGAGAACAATAATTTTACCACTGCTGGGCAAATACCGGACACGTCCGGTATTGCCAGACCAGCAAAAATAAAGTTAGCTCTTTTGTCGCTCAATTACTCAAAATTCATATGGGTTGGCATGAGCACTTATGAATGATTATCTATCAACATGATGCATCCCTCTTAATAGTACGGCATTCCTATTAACTCAAATTCAAATGTATAACGAATTTAAATATTTTGAGTTGTTCTCTTTCAACCGAAGTCGTGTATTCCAATCTTCATCAAGTGAGGGTGCTAACATGTCAATTTTGATCTTTTTGACTTGAGCATAGCCATCTTAAGCACGTGACTTGATTCTATTCATCAAATTTGAATAATCCTAAATATATCAAGTCACTTCCATCAAATACTCCAATAGTGATTTGATCCTCCATATAAACATGGCCATCATAACTTGATTAGTATCTCAATTAAATGCAAGTACTTCCTTCTTCACCCTAGCTAGGTTCTTCGGCCGCCAAGCCACCACTTGTCCTTCACCCTTGCTTAGTACCTCAGAGCCTTTCCTTGCTATTGTAACAGAACCGACCAATTATACGAAATTAAGTAAGAAAATCATCCGCCAGAGCAGACGATTTAGCAAACTTAAGCCCGTATAACCCGGTAGTCCATGAAATCACAAAGGATTTCAAACCAACTTCCATTCCAGCCAAGATCGTAATAAGTTTAGCGGTCACCGTCACATATTACATAAAAGTTCGCAATCTCAGATACCTTAGAGTTTCAACATAGTTATTACAAAATAAGTTCGAATAAAAGTAGCGGAAGCCATTTGTTCAAACCACACACACACTCACGCGGAGTTCAAATATAGTGCCAGCGAATGATCATCTCCATACAAAAGCATCAGACAAGACGTAAGGAATGACCATGCCCATGGTCCTAAGCATCACCCATCGCAGGATACAGACAGTTGATACAGTAGCCGTAATACATCTGCCCATCTGCAACAAGTGGGAATAAAACCCTGAGTACGAGAAGGTACTCAGCTAGACTTACCCGACATAACCGAAAATAAGTGACACCAAGGATTATGAATGGCTTTATAGTAGGGTAGCTGACTCATTTGCAAAAAGAAGCATTTTTAGCATTTTAAGAACCTTTCTAAAAACATTATTGGCAAGTTAATTATTATTAACCTGTCGACTAGATTTGCACGTACACTAGAGTAAACATGTGATTAAGCAGATAATGATAACCAATGATCATTAAACAACTTCCATACTGTCATATTCATTATAACTGTCCAAGTGTTCCATAACATTTACTACGATGAAGTCACTCAAGTCAAGTGCTCACTATCCAGGAGCGATGGCGATTCGAATCGATTCTTAACCAGCTGGTGATTTATTCCTTACACAAACCACTCACCCGCTAAAGTGAGATATTGATCACCGAGTCAACTTTCTAGGTATCTCGAGTTTGCCAGGAACCACATGTACCCAGGGGCCGACCGACTGCACTTTGGTCTTATCATCTCGCCCCCGTGTCCTACCATACCTGCTCCGGCACAGTGCGCTATGGGCAATCTACTCGGCCCAAAAATCTCCTAGCTTCGCGGTCGGAAGGTACTTTATCCGGCCAGCTAAATGTAAGGCATGCGTTCAATATGACTCGAGGCCCAACAACGGTCGGTCCTTAATCGACACAGACGAAAACACTACAGTCCAAAACTCTACAAGTCTCCGTCCGGTCTCAACTTTATTTAACACTTAGTTATACCATGACTTCATAGTCATCCAAGCAGATCCAGGTAACCCCTATAGCTCGCAGGTGACAGGGAATCACCCGACTTCTACCGGTCTAAGCCAGCTAAGCATTGACTCGACTACGGATACCCAGGTAACAAGGATATAGTATAACAAAGGTAGACAAGGTATAAGCAGCAACGGTTGCAAATAACTCCTGAACGTAATGCATCAATTAAAGTAAAGCATTTAATTAAATTATTGCAAACTGGGAGAAAAATGCTCTGGGGCTTGCCTCTCTCGAATGAGCTCGGACGGTGATCGGGGCACTCTGGAAGTTCCTCAACGTCCTCCTCGTCAGCTTCTGGCACTTCCTGCGGCTGCACCTCGAACTGCTCCTCGGGCTCCTCGGGTATGACGACTGGGTTCTCGGTTTGCGATCCTGTATGATGCAATGTGCGTAAGTGCTTATGCAATCGGTGCATCGAATGAGATGAATACAATGAATATGTTTGAATGCAAGGTAGTCAACATCATCCAAGAAAATATACTACAAGCACATGTCATCTACTGCATTCTCTTCTACTACTAATATGTTAAGTCAACACATCTTATTAAATGCTTCAAAGATACACCAAAGCGAACATTATTAACTAACTTGCATTTAAGAGGATTATTTTATTTCATTTTAAACTAGGGCTACAACAGCAACCTATATTTTTTGTGCTTATAAAAATCTAAGAAAATTACAGTAGCATAGTACTACTCTAAGTAGACTACCATAAAATTTTCATGGCACTTGAATAAGTAAAATAGTCTACACAAAAATGACAAGGCATAAGTGCTTAAAAAGGCATAAATAGGAAACCTTAGTTAAAAGTGTCAAGCAACAAATTTCTCATTTTTCCTAGTATCACTCGATCATAAGAATAGCACTCAACAAATTTTACCTTTACTGGATCTATAGAAAAATTATGAAAATTCACACAAGTATTAATCAATGATAAAAGGAAAATCTATAACTCAAAAACCACACATGCACTAGCTCTGAAATTTTAACCAGAGCTTCTACTAAGCAAGACTAGCATACCCACAAAATTTCATAATTTTTGGACCACAGAAACTTAAGATA